TTTGCTCAACATCACCCCTCTTTCCTCTTGCCTGCTCCATCTTTTCCCTCCTCCCACCGTTTTTCTGTTTTTGTTTTTCGAGATAGGGTTACTCTGTGGTTTTTGAAGTCTGTCCTGGAACTAGCCATTGCAGACCAGGTTGGCCTCGAACTCACAGAGATCCTCCGGCCTCTGCCTCCCGAGTGCTGGGATTACAGGTGTGTGCCACCAACGTCTGTCTGGTTTCCTTCCTTCCACTGGTGAATGGAGGACTAGTCCCATCTTCCAATGAAGATCCTACCACCCAGGAGAGGAACAATTCAAGGGTTGCCCAGGAACGTGTTCAGTTCTCATTGGTGCCAAAGGCAATCTGCAGGCCCCTGGAATCAGCACACTTTCCTATGGCCCCTCCCCTCCAGTTTTGGATGGAGAGCAAAGGTGGTACCCAATTATGATGTCCTTATAGACTGCCTGGTCTGCAGTAGTTTCTAAGGTCTGGGGGGGCAGCTTTTCAGGGTGCTCGGGGGTCCCCCGTTCCTCCCTGAGGCCAGGCTTATTCTTTCTCAGTGGTCATTGGCTTTCTGGAAGACAGACCAAATTTAACCCGGGTATATTTAGTGAGGTTCCCTAACTGCCAGGTAAAGGAGACACCCCAAGATTCCCTTTTCTCCCAGGTGTGCCTGGGCTCGGTTTAAATGGTGTGTGTCATTTTTCTGATGTAAGGCTGGTCTGTAGTCCGGAACCTTCCAGGGTCTTAGAAGAGGAGGAGAGTGAGGGAGATCCTTCTCTCTGTGCACTCTGTATCCCCTCCACCAGCCCCAGACCTCAGCCAGAACCAACAGGCTTCCTCATCTCTTGCCAACTTTCGAGACTACAGACACACACACTTGGCCCATAATCTGGAGTCCATCCTGGAAGCTTTGTCCCAGCTGGAGAGAGAAGTGTGACTAGTCCACTGGCAGGCACAGGCTCTTCTTTAAGTTTGCTTGACGATAAGTTTTCACATAAAAGAAAAAAAAATGTTAGAAGAAGAGAGAGTATGTCTTGAGAAACACCCAAGCCTCCCTGTTGGACCTTGAGTCCACACAAAAGCCTCAGGGGCTCTTGTTGTGCAAGTGAAAGCCACGTCTTTGGCAAAGAAAACTACAGCATCCTTCTGTATCTTGTGTGATCTTGTGACACATGGTGGGAGGGGCAGAAACAGACAATAAAACTGAACAAAGAGAGACTCAAGATGTAAGATAGTAAGCATTAGTGATGGGAGTAGATCTAGGAGGAGATAGGAGGAGAAGCTCACCTATGTCCATGAAAGGCTAGAGAGAGACAGAAAGAGACAAAGAGAGTCAGAGAGACACACACAGACACACACACACACAGAGACAGGCAGAGACAAAGAGGCAGAGACAGAGAGAGTCAGAGAGACACACATAGACACACACACACACACACACACACAGAGAGAAAGAGACAGAAAGAGACAAAGGGGCAGAGACAAAGAGAGTCAGACACACACACACACACACACACACAGGCAGAGACAGAGATTCACACACACACACACACACACACACACACACAGAGAGAGGGAGAGACACAGAGGCAGAGACAGAGCGAGACACACACACAGAGAGACAGGTAGAGACAGAGATTCACACACACACACAGACACACACACACACACACACAGAGAGAGGGAGAGACACAGAGGCAGAGACAGAGCGAGACACACACACAGAGAGACAGGTAGAGACAGAGATTCACACACACACACAGACACACACACACACACACACAGAGAGAGGGAGAGACACAGAGGCAGAGACAGAGCGAGACACACACACAGAGAGACAGGTAGAGACAGAGATTCACACACACACACAGACACACACACACACACACACAGAGAGAGGGAGAGACACAGAGGCAGAGACAGAGCGAGACACACACACAGAGAGACAGGTAGAGACAGAGATTCACACACACACACAGACACACACACACACACACACAGAGAGAGGGAGAGACACAGAGGCAGAGACAGAGCGAGACACACACACAGAGAGACAGGTAGAGACAGAGATTCACACACACACACACACACACACACACACACACAGGCAGAGACAAAGAGGCAGAGACAGAGAGAGTCAGACACACACACACACACACACAGAGACAGGCAGAGAGAGAGAGAGAGAGAAAGAGAGAGAGAGAGAGAGAGAGAGAGCAGATGTTGATGTTGATGCTACAAAAAGTCAGATGGATTCAGCCACAGAAGACAATGGGGTGTGGCTGGGTGGTGGTGGTGCACGCCTTTAATCCCAGCACTCAGGAGGCAGGGATCTCTGTGAGTTTGAGACCAGCCTGGTCTACAAGAGATACTTCCAGGATAGTCTCCAAAGCTACAGAGGAACCCTGTCTCGAAAAACAAAACAAACAAACAAACAAACAAAAACCAAACAAACAAAAAAGAAGACAATGGAGTGGGCCGTGTCTAAATTTTGAGTGAATCCAAAGTCATTTAGCCAAGCAGAGAGTGCGTGCTAGTCTTTCTTTAAAGGGAGAAGATAAATTCTGGTTTGTGGTTTCAGAGGTTAAAGTTCATGATTGGCGGGGCAGAGCATGGCTGTGGAACTGCAAGGTGAGAAATCTTTGGTGGCCAGGAAACAGTGAGAAGAGATAGTCCCGCCCACATACCTCTTGTGACCTAGTTACCCCACCGAGGCTCCAACCCTGGAAGTTTCTACCACCTCCCGGTAATTCCATCACACTATGAATCCTTGTAGGGACTAATTCATGACAGACTCCTTATGGCCTAATCATGTCTCAATGATTGAGTCTGCTAGCTGGAGACTAAACTTTCAACACACGACCTGGGGTCATCTCACGCACAAGGCACAGCACAGTGACCTCTGGATGAGGGCCTTTTGCAAGAGCTGCATTTAATCTTCACAAGAACCCTACGAGGCCGGTATTGCTCCACTCCCACAATTGCGTTTGAATCCAGGCTTCTTCACAGGTGATCCGTACACCACTCCAGGCCAGAACGTGCTGAGAGAAATGGAGGCGGTGTTCTGTCAGGGGAGCCCACACGGACAGACCTACAGACAACCTTCTCATCTCTGAAACCATTACAGGGGTATTGTCCCTCTAAGTGACAAGCTTGTCTCGAGTCCAGACTTCCCAGTGTAGAAATCTACACAACGGGCCGGAGAGATGGCTCAGTTAAGAACACTGGCTGCCCTTCCAGAGAACCAGGGTTCAATTCCCAGCACCCACACGGCAGCTGACAACTATCTGTAACTTCAGTTCCAAAGGATCGGACACCTCATACTGGCATACATGCAGGCAAAACACCGATCGATGCTCATAAAATAAAAATAAATTTAAAAAAAGAAAGAAATCTATACAAACACCAACCAAACTGATCCACCAAGGGCATGGCAGAAATTGTCTGCTTGTGCAAACTTCAGGCAGGCTGCTAGGCCTGTTGTGCCCTTCCTTGTAAAATCTAGTTTTAATAAAAATGCTTGTTGAATGAGTCTAACAACAAGCCAAGCCGCCCGCCTCCTGACAACCTGGTCACCATATGTGATCAAGTTCTCCACCCTTGGCCACACCACTGGGCTATGTTGGGTGTCCTGACGCATCTTCAGTAAGAATCCCTTACACTAGGTATTTCTTCTTAGTAATTTCCCTTGGCTCTGACGAGTAGATCCCAAGCTCGGCCTCCCACTGTTAGCCTTCATTGCAGTGGTCCCCCACTGTTGGGATAAAACTCAGGGGAACCTTGGCGGATTCCGTGGCAGGTGAGGCTGAACAAGGCAGAGGTGAGAAGTTTTACTAGAAAAGGTTGTGGGGCAGGGGGAGAGAAAAGAGGTAAAGAGACCCAGAGACAGAGAGACACAGAGACAGAGAGACACAGAGACAGAGAGACCCAGAGACAGAGAGACCTAGAGACAGAGAGACACAGAGACAGAGAGACCCAGAGACAGAGAGACCTAGAGACAGAGAGACACAGAGACAGAGAGACCCAGAGACAGAGAGACCTAGAGACAGAGAGACACAGAGACAGAGAGACCCAGAGACAGAGAGACCTAGAGACAGAGAGACACAGAGACAGAGAGACCCAGAGACAGAGAGACCTAGAGACAGAGAGACACAGAGACAGAGAGACCCAGAGACAGAGAGACCTAGAGACAGAGAGACACAGAGACAGAGAGACCCAGAGACAGAGAGACCTAGAGACAGAGAGACACAGAGACAGAGAGACCCAGAGACAGAGAGACCTAGAGACAGAGAGACACAGAGACAGAGAGACCCAGAGACAGAGAGACACAGAGACAGAGAGACCCAGAGACAGAGAGACACAGAGACAGAGAGACACAGAGACAGAGAGAGGACAGAAGAGAAGAGGGAGACAGGAAAAGTCCTGCCTGCCCCAGGCGAACTGAGGCAAAGAGAGCTGGGAAAGAGAGGAACAGGGAAAGAGAGCGTAAGTCTCTGACTTACAAGGTCTGTCTTTTAAAGGATCCTTTGCATCTGCGTGCAGACTACTCAGTCATGGAACCCTGGGCCGAGCAGGGTACAGCCTGAGTGCATTCTGCCAGGTGACAGGGACAGGCCAGCATAAAGCCTGAA